ATGGTGATTCTGATTGGGTAACTCAGTTCACTGCCAATTATAAATATTCGGTCGTAGTTTTAAATTATCACTCTAAAAGTTTAGTAGATAGGTCAGGTTAGAAGAAATACAGTTGAAAATGAAGTATAAGTGCCAAAATTATATATTTGTACATTTACGAGATAAGCACCCTTTTTGCTGGAGAAAAAAAATGAAGAGTACATATGTTCTAGTTAAGTTCTACCGTTGGGTTTTCTTGTTTGAAGGGAGGTTTTAACTTGTTTTGGTGGAAATCATTTTAGATGGACTTGCTCTTTTATGAAAGATAAAACAGCTCTGCTTGTTTGTTTAATTTATATACTAATTTACCTATTAAATTTTCTTTTACAGGCCAAAGTTAATGAACCATTTGATGGTATCGAGGACGATTGTGAGAGTTCAAGGGATGAAGTTTCGTCTATTTCTTCATATAGTACTATGAAGGAAAATATACACACAACTTTTGGAAGTTCATTGTCGTTGCAGTCTTCTACTGCAAGATCTTCACGCAAAGACCTTTCACTCATTGAAGGGCACACTACTGGAATACCTTCTCATATGGAACTTCCTCAATTATCTGTAGCTGAGATTTCATTTGATTCAGGTGCTTGTGAGCCACCTCACTGTTCACTTGTAAATAAAGTTACGGAATTGATTATGATATTACTAATAAAATAACTTCTTTCCAGTTTTCTTGTGATATGACCAATCATTGCACTTCTAGTGCATGCATTTCTTTTCTAATGATTTATATTTAGCAGCAGATGTTTTGTCCCCAAGTAAGTCTGGGACTGTTGTCTCTCCAAGCCTTCGGCTGAAACAGGCAAAACCATTTTCCCCAGAAGATGAATCAACATCATCGCCTTCTGTTTCCGGAACTGGTGAATCTGGAGCATGTAAGTCATATTGCTTTTAATTCTCCACACATTTTTGTTGCTTTCTCCTCAATCTGTAAGTTAGCGGTTTTGATCCTTCATAAGTAATAACTAATTTGCCCTGAACATTTTCTGCAGCAGAAGGGTTCATTAGAGGAAGATCCTATAACATCAGGCTTGATGATCAAGTGCTTTTAAGATTTTCTCCAAAAAACTCTGAATCAACTTACTATTTCAGTGATATGGTAAGTACACTTTGTATGATGCTCTGCCTGCACTACTTAATTGTCATTGCTTATGACCCCCCCCCCCCCCCCCTCTCTTTGGTTACAGATTGGTGGAACCCTTACTTTCTTTCATGAAGAAGGCACCAGAAGATGTCTCGAGGTATGAAGAAGCACCAGAAGGTTACAGATTGGTGGAACCCTTCCTTGATTGTGGTTTCCATTGATACTTCCGTAGTATTTGCACGTTAACATTTATAGTCCCTAGCTATGTAATCTGTAGTTATTTTTGTCCCTCATTAAACAGATGTTAGAAGTAAGATTTTAAAAGATTTAATTTTAATACACTAGGTTTCCTGTGAGACAACCTCATGCTACAATGGTTGCACAAGAATATTTTTTATTCTTGTCAGATGTCATACATTAAAAACACATTTGATACTTGTATTCCTAACGTCCCAAAATAACTGTTATTTTAGAGAAATTTATGCATATTAATGATCCCTATAAAAGACCGCCATATTAATGATCCCTTTAAAAGACCGCCATGCTCATATTTAAGATTGTCTCACAGTGAATATGTCTTGCAGCTTTTATGTACAAATGCAGAATTTATAGCTTAAGCTAAGATATTTTATGTTTATAAAGTAGTAAATTGATTCATTTGAGAATTCCTTGTAGCTCTCTATAACACTGGAGATGACCGAGACTATAAGCAGACGCTTTATCCATCCTTCAAGAAGACATGCTCCCTCTATTACTAAGGTACACTTTTTCTATTAGTTCCCTGCCTATAGAAAATAAATAGTAAGGGTCAGTTTAGATAGAGGGACACACACCATATATATCATATTTTTTTTCTGAAGTAGCTGTAAAGAAAGAGGACTTCAGCTTTGATTGATTTCTGCAAGCTCTAAACATTTGAAAGAATTATCTTAACCCAGTTTAAATCAATGTTAATGTGTCACGTCTTACTTATGACAGGTTTACAGTGATCATTATGAAGTTGTTGCAGACTTGTTGCAAACAAGCTTTTTGTTCTCCATTCCTATCGATGGGCCCATGTCTTTTTCTACACGACATGCCTCTGTGCACTGGGCTCTTCGGTTCGAATTCTTTACCAGTCCTAAGAATGTGGACTGGACTAGGTAAATTAAATAAATGAAGTCATTCATCATATTTATAGTCTATAGAACTCACACAAACAGTTTTATAGAAATTGGTCCAAAAACCGATGTTGATGTGATCAGGTATGAGCATCCTCTTCTGATAGAAAAGAGAGAGAAATGTGAGTGGGTTCTTCCGATCACTGTGTATGCACCTCCTGATAGTACTTCAGCAACTCAGGCGGCCCAAAATGACAAGTCCTCGTTTTCTTTAGAGGAACCCTTATGGATACGCACGTAATGTGGTTGCAACTTGCAACCAACTGTATACTCAAGGAGTTTATAGATGTGATACGTCTGATGCTGTGCTGATGATATTATACTTTTTTTATTGTGGTTGGTTCTTCATGACCTGATGATAATCGTGTAGAGCTTCAGTGCACTACATCATGTGGGGCAGATGTATCGTATTGCTTTGGGGATGTGTTTTGCTGGAAAAGGAGAGCCAGCTTTCGGAGATGTAATGGTAGAAATGGTCAGATGCATCAAAGCATTCTGCTTCAGTTTCAATCAGTCCTTTTTACTCGGGATGTATTTTTTTCTTTTCTTGTATTCCTCTAATGTCTTGAGAGATTTTACTTTTATTCCTTTCTTCTCTTTGGTTCTGTTCTCTATCTTATTCCCAATCCCTTTTCAGTTTGTGTTCATTCACATCTAATAATTCTTTGTAATCATATAGCACTATAGCAGCTATCCTTGATTCATTCTTATTATTATCCTCATTAATAGTGTGCCTTTTTCCCTGTTAAGTAATAATACCAAAAAATTATACTCCATTCTTTCCCCAATTAAGTTACCACTTTCCTTTTTGAGCAGTTCCTAAATTAAGTTCACACTTCCTTACTTTCTCTATTTGGCAAATTATCTACATCAAAAAGTGTCACAGTGCAAAACAGTGTCAAACAGTGTCCAAACAATGTTTGAACAGTGCAAAATAGTGCACTCTACAATAAAGTCAAATTTATTTTCTTAATGTGTGAAGTCAAATCGGGAACTTAATTCGGGAACGGAGGGAGTAATAAGATTGAAAACCCAACTAAAACTACATGCTTTGGCCTTAAGAGTTAAGACCCCCACTCTAGAAAAAGTTTGTGTTTTTACACGTTCACAAATTGTGCAACACTTTTGCATAGGGGTGGATTCGGTTCGGGCCACCCGACCTGTGACCCGGCCCGGCCTGCTACTGTGTGGGCCCGGGACCGGCCTGGTCTTGCGGTCCGGGACCTGCCCGGTCTGGCGGTCCAGGACTGGGTGTAGACCCGAACCGGTGGGGATGGGCGGGGCGGGCTCGGTTTCGGAAAAAGTTGACCCAGCCCGGGTCCGGGTCCAACGGTCAATTTTTTGAAAAAAAATTGTTTTGTTTTGGCCAAAATAGCCGTTGGGCGGTGGGCTGGGGACAACCCAAACGGTGCAGGGGGGGGTCCGGGGGGGGGGGGGTCCGGGGGGGTTGGGGGTGAGTAAAAAACCCTATAAATACTCCTAATCTTAAACATTTTTTCATACCTCTTCTCGAATTCTTCCTAAATCCTATTCTTAACTCTCTACTCTCTTATTCTCCAATATATTATATTTATTATTTATATATCTACTTTATATTAATTATCTACTTATAATTTATAAATACATACATTATAATATTATATTACTTATATTTGTTATCTAATTATATATTACTTATACATTTATTATATCTATTAATATAGTTGGAATTATATCTAATTAATTTGAAGTCATTCTATTACTCTCATCCGAAAGACCGAAAGTCCGAAAGAGGTACGAAATCATTCTATTATTTACACTTGTTTAATTTTGTATTAATGTTACTTGAAAAAAAAAAACTAGTTAATTCTCATAATAGTTAAAGTTAAACTATAATAATTTGATTGTTCGTAAAAAAAAATAGATTGTACAAAAAAGTAGTCGTAATTCTCATTATAGTTAAAGTTAAAGTGTATTAATTTCATTGTTAGTAAAAAAAATAGGTTGTTTTGGGAATTGGATGTTATTGTCGCATGTATCATCAATCAACATTATGGAGATCGACTTGCACAAGGATATTTAGCCTTTTGAGTTTTAAAGTATGGGTGCCCTATTATGCACCCACTTTTGCTGCTTCACCTAGTCTTTTTGTAAACCTTTTTGGGTATGTTAACTCACACCCAGGGTCCACATGCTCTTGGACACGCGGCTGGCCCAAGGTTGTACCATAGACATAAGACTCATTTACAAAGCCCAGTCCACAAGGAAGAGGCGGACTTTCTGTACTAACCCTCGGAGAAAAGCACCTCGTTACATCCATCATCAAGACTGAGGTGCTCCCATGCACCTCAGAACCATCGCCATCACACATCTCTAGCCTTCTCTTAGTGGATGCTTATACCGTAAACAACCTATTAGTGGCACAATATTGCAATCGGGCCTCACATGCCCAATCCACATTCGCTCTATAAATACCCATTGGGCATTTGGGGGTAGTTGTAGAGGGTTCAGAAATCATTTATTACAAGTTCTCTCTGTATATTGTAGCTCTCCCTTCTCTCTAAGCACTTCGGTCTAACCGGGAAGCTATCAAGATCATTTTTCAAAAAGTCAATATTTAATATTTCTCATCATATTCCTCCCTTCCAGACTTCTCAAATAGTTTCCTTCCTAATCTCATTCCCTAACATTTGCCGTGTTACAAAGACATCCTTGCTGAACGGTGAAATAAAAAAAAATGCTGAAGTATAGATTTTTTATATCAGACTATCAGACTATCAGAGTACAAGTTTTCTACATCCAAATATCCAATAAAACCAAATAATTTTCTTTTTCAAATAGTTTTGATAGTTCAATGACTTCAATCTTGGTGTTGGGGAAATTATGAGCACCACATTGATCACACTATTTTTGTGGAGCTCCTGACTTGATCAATGGCTATGAGCAACATAAATTATATGGGGATTCTAGAGGGTTGATGTAGAGCACCCGCACAAAATTGAGTAGAAGAGTTTATAAGGGTTTCAAGATAAATTACGTAGAAGCATGGAGACGACACTTGATTGGTAATACGAGGGGCAGTCAATGTGAAGTGATGCTAGAAGAGTTTCTCCAAGTGAAGCTCAACAAATGAACAAGGATCTGGAATGTCGAAGTTTGCAAGAACCTGAATACAGCAGACACAACATAGATAAGAAAATAATGAGATTCAACTGCTTGACAAAGGTATACTCTTCTCGAGCTTTTCTTGACTTCATTCATTCACAAGGTAAAAAAACCAGTGAGACCATTTTGAAAGCAATGAAACCAGGCTCACTTTATTTACAATGAAATAACATATTTTCCTGAAAAATGCTTTCTAGTTTTCCTCTGTTGTATTTGGTACCAGAATGTATTTCCCCGGAGAGATGCTTTCCTTTATCCTTTGGGGTCGGTCTGAATTAAAAAAATGTAAGGGAAAGAAAATAGAGTGGAAATTTGTAAGCAAAGAAAATAGATGAAAATAAGGGGGGAAATCAAACCCCACAACAGGGGTATGTAGGGGTGAAAGCGAGCCGAACTGAGCTCAAACTTGGGCATGCTCGATAAGAATGCACAAGCACAAGCTCGATAAGAATGCACAAGCCCCACAACTCGAGTTTTGCTCATTAATGTTGATATTTTCAGGCTCGCATTAGATGCTCGAACTCAAAAAAAAAATTAATTATTTGATACAGAGTATTATATTCATACATACCAATAAAACGATACTACTCCTATCCCACACACTTGGACAACTTGACTTTTCTTGATCAATGAGAATAAACTATTGATATTAGTCGGCAAAAATTGATATTAATAATCCCAACTATTGTAAGTTTTGTATTAATAGTCTCAACTAGCGATTATTCCTGGGCGGTTTCAACTATGGGGTCATTTTCCAAAAATAATACCTAACCAGGTACAACATGTTATAGCAGGTCATTTTTAAATGAGAAGTAAGCGTAAGCTATAAAAATTCTAACTATAGTTGATCTTTTTTTAGTAATCCCAATTACCAACTCTCAATTTTGGGAGGAAGAAAAATATTTTTATAAATTTCCAAACTAAATATCTTACATCATGTAAAAATAATTTATAAATTCTACAAATGTACCGAGGTTAAATAAAATCTTGGCTAAAGGGTCAAATAGGTCCATGTACCCGTCCGGAATGCTCAATTCGCCCCCTGAACTCTAAAAAGCTCCAATTCACCCCAATTTTGACAAAAAAGTTAAAATCTCACTTTCTGCAGGTCAAAGTCCGGTCACCGCCACGTCACCCGATCAGATGACAACCATGCATCCCACATGGAAATTTAAGGGGTCAAATAGGTCCCTCAAGGCCTGAACTCGACAGAGTTGTTGAACTTGCCCCCCTCCCCCCCTCAACCGTTAAAAAGTGTAAGAATTGCAAAAAACAAGTGATTAAAAAATAGAAAATACAAATAAGATACTACAAAATATAGAAATCTATTAAAAAATATAATAAGGATATATTTTATATTATGTTTATATTTTAGAGTTGTATTTTTCATATGATATTTTTTAATATTTTTAATATGTTTTCTATTTATATGTAAAATTACACACACATGCATATACGTATATATACTTCGTATTATTTTATTTTAGAATTATATACTATACTTCATACATAGTACTACCTCCGTCCCACTAAGATTGGGACGAGAGAAGGTGGCACGATTATTAAGAAAAGTGAGTTTGTGTGGTTGATATTATATTGATAAAGTAAGAATAAAGTAAGAATGGTTTAGAGCCACACAATCTTTACCAAATTTGGTATGGGACAATCTTAGTGGGACTTCCCGAAAAGGTAAAATGAGACAATCTTAGCGGAACGGAGGGAGCACTAATTATATACACCATAAAAAATATATTATACAAAAAGTACAATATGAAAATAGTTATTACATTTTTTTATTGTATATTTAAAAATAATTTATTTTTGTTATATTCTTTTATATATTTAATTTGCCGCAAAATATAAATATTTTCTTATTACATTATATAGACGTCTATATTTCATATTATGAACTTGTATATTATTTAAATTTTTATTTTCTATTTTTGAATTTTTTATTTTTATTAGCAATTTAGACACTTTTTAACGGTTGAGGGGGTGCATTGAACAACTCTGTCAGGTTCAGGGGCCTATTTGACCCTTTAAATTACCACGTGGGATGCACGGTTCACATCTGACCGGACTTTTACCTGCAAAAAAAGAGATTTGAACTTTTTGTCGGGTTCAAGTGGTGAATTGGAGCTTTTTAAAGTTCAGGGGGAGAATTGAGCATTCTGAACGGGTACAGGGGACTATTTGACCCTTTAGCCTAAAATCTTCTTTTTGGTCATTTTTTAATTTTTTATAAATAATTCCAAATATATAACGAAAAATAATAGTGGACAAATATGTGACTTTAGTAACTTTAGTGACTATAACTGTATTCAAAATGTTACATCGTAATCACTATAAAATTTACTCATACTAACTTATAGTCACATTTGTCCACATTTTTTATTAGTAATATTTTAGGAAAAATCTCTTATTTTTACTAAAATTTCATTTATTCTTTTTCCAATTAGTTTTTCGGCTTTTTCCCAATTGTGTTATCTATTTAAAATTTTGTATTATTTTCCTTTATTCAAATTTACATTTTCTTTTTGTAAAAATTATACCAGGATTAAAAAAAACAGGATTAGAGCTTTAGTTTAGTTCTTTTCACTATTTTTTAAAAACAATTTATGCTATCTTAATTCTAAAAAAACATTTTTCCATTTTGGTAATTTTTATTTCTTTCTATTTTCTTTATTTTATATTACGGAGTATTATATTTCATAAATTATATGATATGTAGTATAAATTATCGTTTAATTTCTAAGATTTGGAAAATTTCTAATTTATTTCCTATTTTTACTTTCTATTTTAATATTTAAAAATAAATAAAATAGACAAAATTTTAATATTTAAAAATACTAAAATTATATTTAAAAGCTAGAATAAAGCTCTAAATCCTAAATTTTTAATCAGAGTATACTTTTTGAAAGAAGAAAATGCAAATTTGAATAAAGCAAAATATTAAACAATCATGAATTGGTAACATAACAGGAAAAACTAATCAGGGAAAACTAATCGGAATAAAAGAAAAAATGAAATTTTAGTGGAAATAAATTAAAAAATGACTAAATTTCTTTTATTTAACCTCGGTACATTTGTAGAAATTCGTAATTATTTTTACATGATTTAAAACATTTAGTTTGGAAATTAATAAAAATATTTCTACATCTTCTGAAAACTGAGAGTTGGTAATTGAGATTAATAAAAAAAAGAACGACGATCGTTGGGATTATTTATAGCTTACGCTTGGTTCTCATTTAAAAATGATCTGCTATACCATTTTGTAGCCGGTTAACAAAAAAATAAATCCATATTATTTTTACAATTTAATTAAATCCAAATTAAAATATCATAGGTCAAACTTGACCATCATTGACAAAACAAAGTCAATAATTCCAATTTTTTTGGGACAAAGGGAATATAAAATACTCTTACTTTGTTGTTCTTTATTAGTTTCTTTCTCCTTCACTAGCATTTTTACTTCTTATTTTATTATCAATTAAAATTTGGAACATATAAATAAATATAAAAAATATAAAAGGTTTTGAATCTATTTGATTACTTATTGAACTTTTTTAATCCAGAATCTCAAAGATGAAAATGGTCAATATTGATTCCGGATGCTTGATAGGTTAAAGGAAATTATTTATTTAAAATAAAAAATAAAAAATGAAAGGAATCAAAATCTATGATATTTTATGTCTTAGAATAATAATTTTCAATTATTTGAGCTCTATATCGACCCTTTTAATATTTCCGGTCTTGGATTGGTAGTTAACCAATCTTTCAAATCCTAAATGTATAAAGTTTATATGTGTGTGTTATGGTTAGCGAGCCCAGGAACTAAAAAGAATTGGGTTCAAGCTCAGCTCGATTGCTTAACGAGCCAGCTCAAGTTCGGTTCGAGTTTGGCTGAAGTCAAGTTTTGACCAAGCGGTGCAAAAGTAGCTCATGAGCGGCTTGACTTGATTGCGCCCTTTAGGAGCATGTTACTCTCATCTTAAAAATTTGGCAATGCCGGGCTATAAGCATGGTGGTATACTGACATAATTGACAACATTTTCCAAGTTTGACATCAACTACTCCTACTTAAGAAATAAAATCATAGTGCTCTTATTTTTGTAAAAAGCATAGCCTTAGAGTTCAGAATTTGTGGAAAATTTCTTTTGTGAGTAACTGAGTACACATTACATTTACACAGAAAAACTTATTTTTCAAGGAAAACATTTTCCGCGAGTTAACAAAGAGTCTCGAAGAAACTTGAACGTACATTTTAAGGCATAGTACTGTTAGTCCAACTTATTCACCAACTAGTAGTCCCATTTTAGAATGAAAACATTAGTACTTACCTCCGGATGCACAATACCAAAGTTTCCAACACACTTTCCATTGCAAATGATACTAGCTTGTCTTCCTTGAAGAAGTTCAGGCTCCTGCAATGCCAAAATTAGCAACAGTTAGCACCACTTTGTATTGTCAAAAATTATATTCCATGTCAAGGGGAAATAAATATGCTTACATCTGAACTTTCTATGTAATAGCCTGAAGTATTGCCAGGTAATACAAACGAATATCCAGTCGCTTCCATTATTCTATCAACTAAACCATGTATTAGCTGCAAAAAGGTAAAGAGATTTGATTGATTGCAAAGATGCACTATCTTAAGGGAATGACACAGGACAAGATGGGAGGCATAAAAGAGGGAAAGGCAAAGGACATTCAAAAGGGAAACTAAATACCTCAAATCCTGAGTTGGCACCACAATACAGAGCAGCAAGGTGACGATGGTTTACAGCTCCAACATCATTGGTGTTGTCTATGAGAACTACGTCACCTACTTCAAATATCTAAAGTGACAACATGTATTCATTACATTGAAAAATTAAGGGAATTAAAGACTATTGAGTTGAGTTCCCTTTTCAAAAATAATTGAAATAGGGAAAACTGTGCCCCACTTTTCCATCTTTCGTTCCAGCAAATATTATCAGGTTAAAGTAGAGATGCATCTTGTTTTTCAAACTGTAACATCAGAAAAAACTGTTATTGTTGTTGTTTGTAACATCACAAAAACTGTTGTTAAAGCGTAAAAGACATCGGAAAGGGGCAACAATTATGAGAAATTAAGTAAATATTCTGAGCTCTATGAAGCTTCTGAAGAGTGCACTGAACCAATTTCCTGAACACACGTAAAGAGTACTACAAGTCTAAAAGCACACTAATAAACCGATATTCTGAGTCCTATTACCAACCAAACATATTATGTTGACCTGGGTTTTCAAGAGAAATAATAAAGGGAGTGCTGAATTTAGCTGCATATACAAATAGTAACACTTCTCAGACACAACCGAAGTTAGCTGCATATAGGAGCGGTCAGGTGTAGCCATAATTAGGCTTAATGGGCATCAATCTGTAAACTCTATTACAGGCACAGTATGGATATATATATATATATATTTACATTTAATCCAAAAAATATTACAGGCACAGTAACATTTTCGAGTTTTAAGTGGAGACAAAAAGGACGTTAATTATTTAAACAAATACAAATATTGAAAATTTCTTTTATTTATATTTTGAGCATAAGTAGAAAACAAGGATGTCCTTACAAACTGGAAACTTGTTTCAGTTTCCAAGAAAATTGGAAAACCAAGAAACAGAAAATGAAAAATATGCCAACATTTCTAGTATTATTGAGAACTTTCTCCAATTGTCCTCTTCATTTTTAGATAACTCTTGCCACCAGGCCCACCACCAAGCACCACTGGCAACTGCAAATAATTGGATTCGTTGCCAGAAAAAACTTTCTATATAACATTGCTTTGCCTTCAAGGACAATGCGCATACCTAAATTTTTAGGATGAAAAAAAGTTGTGGTGCACAAGTGCAGTGACTAACAACAAATCACGTGTTAAAATTCATTGGGAAATGAATATCAATGACTTGGTGAGTTGGTGTGAATGTTTGGAGATGGAAAATAGAAAATGGAAGTACTTAAAAGTTTAAACATAAAGGTTTGCATCATTAAAGCTCAGAGAAGTTGGTTACGGCAAAATAGCTTTAAATTCAAAGGAGAGAACTATTTATAACCTTATCCTCCACTCCTCGCCAATACAAAACTGTCAAATAAGCCCAATGGTAAAGAACGATGTATAAAGAGCAAGTGCAATATACCTTTATAGGTTTTGGATGGTCCTTATTGTGTCCAACAGTTTTCAATATGCCCGGCATTAGACGTGTCCGTACAACCTGCAATATATATGACATAAGAAATGGTAACACGTGTAAAATGTTAGTGAGATGAAATGGCATTTGAAGACATCTCATAGGGGAGGAAAATAGCATAATGAGAAAAGTAGAACCTTTTACATTTAAAGCTTGTTTGGTAACACCTATTTTCAGCTTATCAACCAATTGTTTTTACCAAAACACGTAACTTTTGATAATAAAAAAATACTACCTCCGTCCCAAATTGATTTGCAAATTTGACTTTATATGGTCAATCAATTTCGTTTTATTCGCTTAATTAGGATGTTAATTTGTAATTATATTCTAATTTGGAGTGCAACTTTGAAGAGATTTCGATGTAGTTTCTGAATATGTAAATTTTAATTATTAAAATTGAATTAATTGTCGATAGAGGATTGAGTTTTATTATTGGTTGACCAAAAAATGTTGACTTTGCAAAACAATTTGGGACGGAGGGTGAATAATTTTTCGTAATAAAAAATATGATGATTGGCTGGTGTTAGTGAATATGATCATTTTAGCTATTTTTCATATAATTTTTCATTATTTTATTAATAAAATATATAATAAATATAACTTTCCCATGATTTGGCGGATTCAACCAATTCAGACGCTTTAGTCGGAATTTCAACAATTTTAACAGATTCGGGCAATTTCAATGCCACCAAACAGACTCTTAGTCTCTAAGATCCTTGATAGGTTGAGGACAAGGTGGATGTTTAGGGAGGGAGTATTGATAGGAACCCACTTATATAAGACTAATAATAGAAGTACTAACAAGAATATTAGTAATAAGGGCACTTGATGTATTGTAGTATAAATAGATGGGAAGGGGGAGTAGTGAGGCAGGCTGTTTAGACGTTATTGTCTGGGACTGGGAAGTTGGAGTATTATCTCCTTCTTTGGGACTCTGTACACTGTTTACCTTGTTAATGGAAGTTTACTGTTTTCTGTAGTTTGTATTCAATTCTGTTGTGATCGTTGTATGGTTGTGGAGACCTTATCAATCCTCCATCAGAACATAGTGAATAATTGAACAAACAATTTCAAAGTTGGAGTTAGGATAGCTAGCATGATGAACTTACCAATCATTCAAACTTCCTAATCAAGCAAACTATTTACTTCCCCCCAACTTAGTTTAACTCATTTTAACTAATTTAGTCAGAGATATATAGCCTGTCACAGCCATTTAACCTTCTTATAGCCTGACACAGCCATTTAACCATTTTAACTTTCTTATGCAACAAACCCAAGGTACCACTAAAAGTATTACTAATAGGAGACAAGATATTCCTGTTTCCTGGTTATATTACAAGCAGATTGATGCACGGATATAGCATCTTTGGGAGCCCATTTGATATGCCCAAAATGGACTCATAGCCTTATACGCCATAAAAGAATGCAAAAGGCACCAAAGACCCCAACATTTGGCTGGTTAGGCTTTTATGCCAAAAAATGACTTAGAAGCTGTTCTCTTCGTCTTAATCTTATTACTTATTCCTTATTCTTATTTTATTCAGATCAGATCAGATCAGAAAGATTCAGATCAGATCAGATCAGATCAGAAAGATTCAGATCAGATCAGATCAGAAGCATTCAGATCAGATCAGAAACATTCAGATCAGATCAGAAGCATTCAGATCAGATCAGATCAGAAGCATTCAGATCAGATCAGAAGCATTCAGATCAGATCAGAAGCATTCAGATCAGATCAGATCAGAAGCATTCAGATCAGATCAGATCAGAAGCATTCAGATCAGATCAGATTAGTTCAGAAATTATTATTACTGTTATTATTACTATTATATAATATTATATATTACTGTTATGTTTTACGGAGTAATTTTTAGTATTGATTTTTTAATAAATGCTAAAATTGAGTACTCTGTACCAATCCATCTAATCTAAATACTTCCTCCGTTCCATAAAAGTTGCAACATTGGAATTTCTGCACTATTCACACACCTTACTTTGACTACGATTTTCTAAGAATATATATAATAAAAAATTATGCATAAAATATTAAAAAATTTGTATTAATGTGAATTTCCAATATATTAACTTTTTTTAATGTTTACTAATACGTAACTAAATATAATTACAGTCAAAGTTGCGCGTTGGCAAACGTGAAAGTCAAACTGTTGCAACTTTTATGGAACGGATGATAGTATATAATACTGTCACCATTTGATCGAGAAGAATGAATTGAAGTACAAACATTTATTCAATATCAACTTGCGATTATGGTATCAACTTTCGCACTGCACAACTTTATCCGTCTTTACGAGTTGGATATTCCAATTTCAAGTGCAATCAAATATTTTTATTATTATTAAAAAGGTTATTAATATCACTTATTATTATTATTATTATTATTATTATTATTATTAGTACTACTACTACTACTACTACTATTATTGTTATTATTATAATTATTATTATTGTTACGGAGTATTATTTTTATTATACTTATTAAATAATAATAATAGTTATTATTACTATTATAATTATTATTGATGTTATTATTATTATTGTTATTGTTATTGTTATTATTCTTATTATTATATACCAATTTAGAAAGTTAAGATCAGATCAGAAGGATTCAGATCAGATCAGAAACATTCAGATCAGATCAGAAACATTCAGATCAGATCAGAAACATTCAGATCAGACCAGACAGATTCAGATCAGATCAGAAACATTCAGATCAGATCAGACAGATTCAGATCAGATCAGAAAGATTCAGATCAGATCATATCAGATCAGAAAAATTCAGATCAGATCAGAACTTAAAAAATTCAGATGAGAAACATTCAGATCAGGTGAAGAGAGCAGCTTCTTAATATAACTTTTTAGGCTTATTCTTATTTTTACAATGAAATAACATTTCTGCCCTCCTGTTGTTTTGCCACACAAAAAAAAATTACCAGATGTCCTTTTAGGTAATTACAAATCCAACCAATTTTTTTAATTAAAAAAAAAATAGTAACCACTTTACATTTAGCTTATTCAGTTAATTAACAGTTTCTAATAGATTTTCTATGTTATAATAAATTATAATTTCCGTATATGTGTGAACCTTGAGCCTCCCAAAAAAAGAGTCAAACAAACTTCTCAAGCTTAGTCACTTAAATGCATAGAATACTCAAGCACATGTTATAAATATTCCACCAGTGAAAATGACCACATAAAGCTCATGCAGAATTCTATTTGAACAAATGATTTTCATCTTAACAAGCCCAATTAGTTGTTTGATGCAGACATCCAACAAACCTCAAACTCAGAAGTACGAGAATCTGCAATTACGACTGCTGAATTGTCCTCTCCACGCTTTAGCAGGGAGGCAATTTCTTTTTTAGAACACAATATCCACGTCAACACCTCTGTGTAACCAGCCATGGATACCTGAAAAGAATATACAAAAGGTTCCTTGTATAATAATAATATACTTAAAAGACTGCATACACAGAGCTTGTACGAAATTGTGCACTAGTATCAGGCTAGAGGAGACAACAAAAAGCATGTTTGTGCCTCATCGATTGGAATGAACTATGCCATACCATAATAAACTGTTGGAGGGTATGAAAGAGAGGTATTGATCCTTCAACATAATGGGTCCCGGAAACCCAAATATACACAAAGATTGAAGGATGCAGTGGGTCAGACTACAGTAAAACCTGAATATACAAATGCTCTATTTAAGAATAAGCTTTATTTCATTACTCAATAAAATATTGTTGTCCCAAGTTGGAGAATAATCTCAACTTGTGATAAGTTATTAACTTGATAGATACCATGCGTAGTTACTACTTAGTTTTCATTATATAATTAGATAAACCTTGATGACAAAGGTAAAAAACGAGAATCTGCAATTACAGTAAAAGGTAAAAATATCTAAGACATTAATATATAGTAAAATAGTAATATGCACAAATATATATGTGTGTGTATGTGTGCACGCGCATGCACGTGTACATATACGACAATAATATACAGAGTATATGGGAATAACGAATTCATATGAAAGGCTGCTTTTACTTTTGTAGACTCACAAAAAAGCAATTCAAATAATAGCTGGAATGCAGGACTGTATAGGCAGTCATCTAAAATTCAATTTGAGAGCTAAAAATATCAAATTCTAGATTACCTCCATTCTAATCAGATCGCTTAGTTGACTAAGAGAAAGGGGCTTCATGGATGCAGGCTTTCTCTTTGGAATTTCATTGTAGCCAAAAGCAATTGCAACATCCTAGATGACAAAATGTATCAGTTAGAGCGAAAACGTATGGATGACGACCTTTCGCTATAGATAAACGTGCCAGAGCGAGTACCTCAGCCACATCACAAGCATGAAGAACATCACTTCTAGTTGGAGGAACAGACACAACAAACTTGACTTCTTTATCTTTTGAAACACATTTCTTAGCATGCAATTGCATTTTATGCAATAAATTTGCTACCTGGAAGGAAAATAGTCAAACTTGAGGGAATCTGCAATTTTAGCATTATTTCTGGAGCGCATAAACAATTGCCTACACCTATGTCAACTTTTCCTTAAATATACATGCATCCAATAAAAATATACATACATGCATACAATAAAAATATACATTGAAGAAAATTAGCACGTGATAATTGAGTAACAAAAATAGCATCTTTGAAAGAAAAACAGCGGTTGAACTAAATCATTCTAAATTTCTAATTTTACTACATTACCAAGTAGTATGGTGTCCTAATTTTAACTACATTACCAAGTAGTATGGTGTCCTCATTAGGATTTCTCACCAAAGTTCCAGCTCAAATGGAATGAGCTATGCATTTTCTTTGTTACTATGTCAAACATATAAGTCTGTACTAAATACGTAAACAGCTAATCCAAACAAAGAAAAATTAAAACTATATATCAATGATGGGTTGGTAAGAGAAAAGGATTGATGCCGAAAGTTTCTGCTCTAACCCTTCATTGCTTTAAGGATTGATTAATAACTAATCAGTAGAGCAGTATGAGTATGTATATTGGAGCTGAAATACAAAGATATATTAGAGGGTCTAGTTTGTTTTCACAATAGTCATCTGGTGCTGAAGCAAATCTTAAGATTATAACAAGATAAAATTGGATTCCAAGACTTTACTTGATTTTCCGCCAAGGATACTCCAACTACACTGTTAATGTATGACAAAGGTACATCCATTTGGTATACGGAGAGGTCGGGAGAAATATATGATGTTCCATCAGGATACATTACTTTAACTTGTTCAACTTCATACTTCTTTTCGCAGTAAGCTGAAAAGATTGTTGCCTACGATACAGATAACAAATAGTTCCACTAATTAGCAACTAAAAATCAATATAAATAAATAGAAAAATACATGATAAGTAATCCTCAGCAATCAGAGAGTCCTACCATTGTATTTAATACAATATTGGCCTTCGTCAAATCTGTGGCTGTGCATTCAATGAAAACATTCCTTGTTTTTAATGTAATGGCAGAATGCGCACCATTAATAATAGGAGGCAAAGACAACACAGTTCTGCATAAAAAACAAGTTTACCAGGTCAAACACACGTCGAATAAGGATTAAGGATTTGCGCATTCATAGTAAAAAAAACACAAAATCCTGAACTTTGACAGAATTTCCTTTTGCACAAAGATGGCAGACATGTAGGATTGGTTTAATTTAAGGTACAGAAAAACTACTCCCTATATGCTTTTAGGTTCCATTTAAGGTTTTATACATATACTAAGAAAGCAATGACTTTTTAAAAAAGGTAAAACCGGGCATACAATAATTAGAGTACCACTGTTTATGTTTTTAAGTACCACATTTGTCGATGTAGAAGGATAAAAAATGATCAACTAAGCTTCCATTGGTACCCTAAAATAACAGTTATCTGAGAGCAAGGATGTTTTTACATGGACTGTAATTTGTTGGTCTGGTCTGGTCTGTTTTGGTTTGGTCTGGTCTGTTTTGGTTTGGTCTGGTCTGAAATTTTATTTTTTATATTTTTTGCATAAAGATTTTATTTTTTATATATATTATAATCCATAAATAATTATATTTTATTCATTTATAATTACAAATAATAATAACAATAACAATAACAACAACAATAATAATAATAATTAGGGGTGTGCACTATCTGGTTTAAACCACAAAACCGGACCGAACCGGACCGGAAAAACTGGAACCGGATCGAACCGGAATGATATCTGGTCCAGTTCGGTACGGTCCGGTTTTGAACCGGTGCACACCCCTAATAATAATAATAATAATAATAATAATAATAATAATAATTAGGGGTGTGCGCTAGCTGGTTTAAACCGGAAAACCGGACCAAATCGGACCGGAAAAACCGGAACCGGATCAAACCGGAATGATATCCGGTCCGGTTCGGTACGGTAAGGTCCGGTTTTGAACCGGTGCACACCCCTAATAATAATAATAATAATAATAATAATAATAATAATAATAATAATAATAATAATAATAATAATTAGGGGTGTGCACTATCCGGTTTAAACCGGAAAACCGGACCGAACCGGACCGGAAAAACCGGAACCGGATCGAACCAGAATGATATGCGATCCGGTTCGGTACGGTCTGGTCCGGTTTTGAACCGGTGCACATCCCTAATAATAATAATAATAATAATAATAATAAAAATATGGTCTGGTCTGGTTTGGTCTGGGACGAATTACAGTCCAAGTAAAAACAACCCAAGTTTCTTCCTCTTGAACAACGGTTAAAAGAGAAGTGAGGGAGTAGATATTTCAAATGAACATTATTCTACATGCAATATTTAATAAATAAATAAATAAATAAAATAATGACAAAAATACTACTACCAGCTTTATCTTGGACAAAAATAAGACTTCATTTTTATTTGGACAAAAAAACGAATCATACGTTAAGGACAAAAAAATCCTATAAATACAGAAAAACCCTAATCCCCTTCCCAGCCTATCTTCTCTCTATTCCCATCAGTCCATTTTCAGGTTTGTCGCTGACTGCCGACCGACTGTCTTCTTCTTCTTCACCTCTTCTTCTATCCAACTGTTCACATCCCTTGTTCGATTACGGGGATGACGGACAAGAACCTAGACGGGTGGCTCACCGGCAGGGAAGGTTGGCCTGCAGCGCGAATGGGGATGGCGGCAACAGGTGGGGTGGCGTTGGGCTGGTGGTGGGGGCTGTGAGGCGGGGAGGGGGACTGTGGTTTGGCAGAGGGAGGGGAGTGGGAGAGAGTGTGGGGAAGGGGGCACAGGAAGGGGCTGTGGAGGGCGCAGGGGAGCTGGGGAGGAAAGATGGGGATGGGGGCTGGAGTGGGGCAGGCAGGGTTGTAGGTGGTGTCAACTACCGGGGCCAATGGCCGCGGTGCCGGCGGGGCGGGGTTTCAGCGACAGCTAGGCAGCAGTCTTTAGGGCAGTAACTTGGGCGGTGGTCATTGCAGGGTGGTCACTGTGACTGCCGGGGCAATTACTTTTACCGCAGTTGTGGTCACTGTGTCCAAGGCAGAGGTCAATGTGACCGGCTGAGGTTGGTCACTGTGGCTGGCGAGGCCACTGAGGCATTGGTCATTGCAGAATGAAGTCACTGAGTCTATGACATTGGTCACTGTAGCGATGGGTCAAGTGGGAATGGGGTGTAATTGTCCTCTTAATGCTTTTTAGTCTCTTTTTTGGAAAATTAAAAAAATCTCATTTTTGTCCATTAATTAATTTTTAGTAATTTTCTTGTCCTAACATCGAAATAAAAACCATTCAGTAAGATAGAATAAAATCAAGACATTTATACAATTAGATTAGAAGTTCAATGCAGGCAGCAGGAAACAAAATACCTGTTATGATCATATATAACAGGGAACACTGGTGAAGTCTCAATTATGTGTAAAAACTTCTTCAGTTTGAGATCATGCTGCAATATGTGTAAAAACTTCTTCAGAATATATTAGACACGACACAAAATTTTGTAGAAACTGGACTCTGTAAGACACTACTGCATACAGAAAAACAACAACAAAAAAAATATTTCCCAAAATTAGCATTGTCTAGAATGAGAAGCAACATTCAGGCTGCAACCTCTTTGTAATATTCCATCAGCTTATCAGCTCTGAAGCTCTGTCTCTGGGAAAAAACAAAGTAAACACATTAGCAAAACAGCATGAGCACTGAGTAACCCCGGGCATGCCCAGAGGGGGGAGGGGGTAATCCATCCCTCCTGACCCCAACCTTACTCTATATACAACCTCCATCCCAAAAAAACTTTGCTTTTTCATAAAATTTGGATCATGATTTTGATTAGTATAACATTATGGAATATTGGAATTTATAAATTTTACTTTTATAAATTTGGATTATCTGACCAGTCGTATTAATTATGTTGTGATACATATACTTTACAATGTTTCAAGTGCATTTAATATCGCCCCCAATAAATTTTTGGACACACAGCTGCCTTAAGAAACATAAACAAGAGCAGTTACCTGTTTCAAAGGAACAAAGTTGATTTCTGTGGGCGGCAAAGCCTGGAATTTGAGAAGAAAAAAAATACTTGAGCAAAAAACACTTCAATGATAAAAAATAATTAATGAAACTTATAAGGAATAAAAGTTCCATACAATTCCCCATGGACCAATAACACAGCTCTCTTTCACAAAACTCAAAGTTTCAGAAAGGCGCCCTATCTGAAACTCTTGTCTGGTTTAAAGATTTTTATGATCCAATATATGTGTCAATATAACGCTTAAATACTTCTTTAAACAGATCTTGATCTTGCAACTAATTGCGAAGATAGGTATTGTGAATGAAGTTAAAATAAGAGCACATTGATTATTAGTTCAACCACATTATTGTTGGGCAACCAAATAAGAAAGGGGGCATTAAGGAAGAAAAGATTTCTATACTATCTGCTGCTAAGTGTACCTCTCTTGAAGCCAAGCACAATGGGAGAACATAAATGATAAACCAAGTAAAAGGGAACATAAACTAAAGGTACAGTAATGATTATTATCAAGTTTGCAGAGAGAACAAAGTGGTTGTTGTGAAGTCATAAACTGAAATACCTCGTATGTGAAAGGAGGTTCTATTGTATCTAAGTCATGAGTTCCAATGGCAACCAAGGTTCTTCGCCTAGAAAAACAAAGATCAAGAATTGAAAGTGTGTAAAACCTCTAGTAAAAAAGAAAAACTTAGGACTTGCAGTTAAAGGTACAATCACAACCAGTAGAAAAAATCACAGAAGACTTGATCATAGTAAAATAATTTCTTTTACCAATTGAATTTTTGCCTTTGAAACTGTATATCATCCACAGAAGTAAAAAACTCATCTATTTCAATTTAATCAATACAAGAGTATAAGACAGTTTTAGCTATTGTTATGACAATCTTTGATCTGACAAACTAGACATATACTTTCATATACTCCCTGCTAATGAAGGATAAAGTGAGTCCTGAACGAGCTTTGATAAGATTTTCATCTAAACAAACATTTTTTAATTTTTCCCCACAAGTTCATGGAAAGACACAAATTGACATTTAACAAGGAAACTGATCAAACCTTTCAAAAAGAATGCATTAAATTACAGCTTTATGACTCCTAGAAACTACTCTGTATTACAATACTTACATAAAAATAATAATGGGTAAAACCCCAATACGAGATCTAAACACTCAACCTAATGAGAATAGGAAGCAATAACACGTTACTAAAAACCATGATTACTAAATTTATATAATTACTGCTCTTTGTCCCACTAAGTTTGGGAAAACCAGTCAAGAGGATGTGGAACACAAATTTTAAACGTGGACTAGTGTGGTTGATATTGAATATGTAAGACATGGAAGCTTTTGAACCACAAAATTATGTAAAAAAATGATTTTGAACCACAGAATTATGTACAAAATTATTTTCGAATGGACCAAAGTGGAAAAAAGGGTAAAGATAGTGGAATGGAGAAACTGGAGTACTGGACTCCCTCCATGTTGAAAATTAACAAAGGGCATTCATGTTCCTAATTTCTACAACTTTGTCCAACATCAACTATCTGGAAATATTAGAGTAATACTTAACAAATAAAGTTGGCTATTTGTTGTTATATGCATCCAAAGGATGAAATATTGGATACAAAAGTAAAATCAATACAACAACATCCAAGCCTTAGTCCCAAAAGAGTTTGGGGTCGGCTAACATGAATGATATATGAAATTGGAGCTAAAAAGGATAAAAAGATAAGATAAGATAAGAAAGATGAAAAATTGATAACATAAGGATATAGATAAGATAAAGATAAAAAATGAGATAAAAAGATAAAGGAGATAAGAAAGACAAAAAGATAAAAAAAGATAAAATTAATGTAGAAGTCAACTCAAAGAGTCGACGACAGAAGCTGCATATAGTGATTTGCAAATAATTGATACAGGTGCATTCCATCAAAGACCATGAAATGAAAGGTATAAACCAGCACTAGAATTCTCATTAAAAATGAGAATCAACTTTGGTTTCATAAATATAAAAGCAAGCATTACCGGCAAATATTCTGATGAAGTCGATCTTGTAGATCAATAAAGCTATTGTATCTTGCTTCATCAAGAGTTAAGCCCCTCAAAACAGCACACACAACATACTGACGTATTTCTGATGTCTGTAAAAAAAAGAACAGGCCACCATATATTCAAACACGGTTTTAGTTACTAGTCACTATTACCCCAACAGCAGTAACATCAACTACATGCGGGGAAGAGTAATGATCAATAAAGGTAATACCTCTGGCTTTACATGCACTTTCAGCATGGATTCTTCATTGATATTCACAACATTATATGTGGGTATAGGATCAAGCCCATTAAAAATGCGAAGGGCTTGAACTAGCCCCTCAAGGCAAAGTAAATCATACCTGTAACCATGTTTTGAAGGAAAATGGGGCATCAGTTATCCTGGCTTTTATTTTCATCTTTCCAGCCTTGCAGGGGAATTAAGAATGAACTTAAATTCCAACAAGGTCCTTCAAGATGTAATCTTATTCAGTAACCTAAAATATTTATAAAGGAAGTGCTTAATAATTGCACTAAATAGGTGAAAACACTTACGCTCTTAACGCTTGGTTTACGATTTGAAGTAGTTACAAAATATTTTAGTTTTTTTCGTTCATTCTGAGTAGTATAGAATTCCGAGATAACTATGAAGACCTGTTAGCAGGAACTTCGATTTTGTATATAATTTCCTCATCTTCAGATGCTTCTTCTTCATCCAAATGCTGTTCTTTCCGTTTAATTGCTTTTTCTGTTGTCTGTAATCACATACGCACATACACTTAGTAAGTAGTCAACCGCCAATAGTATTAACTAAATTTTAGAGATATTTATTGATGTACCCTCAAAAAAATTAACAAAAGATCAAACACAATCATTGTCGAGATTTGACAAAGATTAAACCTTGCAAAGTAGTGAGAAAGAATAATTTGGAATGGCAAGCATTTGACAAAATGCTGCCTAAACCCAAGCTCAACCAAATGCGTCTTACGAAAATAGACAACATTAAGAGCACTTACGACGTCATCGAGCTCAATACCAAACTGGAAACACAATTCCTCAAATTCTGCTTCAGCTGAGATCAAACACAAGTTGAAAGAATATTTGAATAAATGTACACATAGCATATGAAGATAAAAACTGAGAGAGGATTAACTGTAAGTGCGGCCGAGAGCTTGAAAGAGCCGATCTCTTCCGACGCTGACGGTGGGCATGGTGGCAGCTACGGGCAGATCTAGTGTTGACATTGAGTGGGGAACAAATTTTTTTAGGTGTACAATAATGTCTATTGCAACAAAGAGGTCAAAGGGAAAAAACAAATTTACATCTGTTCTCTACAAGTTTTCATCTACTAATATTGTTTGTCAATTTTCAAAAGGATGTTTTTTTCTACATAAACAAGAAGAAGCCTATCATTGAGAGAGTCATCACAATCAAATAATGAGATTAATAAATAACAAATCACAATCAATTTGATGCTAATGTAAATGTTGCTCACAAATGATAAATCAGAACTTAGAAATCACAGATCACATTAATAACACGTGTTTAAAATGACCAGCTATGAAGCACGGAAACTCTCCACGTCTAACCTTTCCCCATTCCAGGAACTCAAAAGCGTGTTGAAAACTCAGAAACTTCAAATTACAGTTTTGGGGCCGTTTCAGTAATCAAGAAGAATTGGGAAACTTGTTTCCCTGAATAATTCACATCTCGGAAACCTTGGGTTTCCATTTTTTCTTTTCTAAGTGGTTCTCTAAAGGAAGACAGTGTCTTTTTTAAAATCTTTAGTGAATTTCGGTGGTATTTCTTCCTAGCAACATTTCATAACACAATGCATTGCTAGAAATATATTGCATTTTTATGTTTAATTAAACTTATGGGCCAATATAAAACGATTTCTAAATTTGATCATTTATAATGTTTTTATTATTGGGTAATTAAACAAGTTCTGTGAAAAAAATTATGCGCATGTATATATAAATGAAAAACAAGTGTGCATTAACGAAAGAATAATTATAAGTATATCCTTCTACTTTTTACATGTTTCCCCATGTTTCGTATACTATATTTTTTGAAATTGCATTTCTGGTGTTTCCTGTTTCCATGCTACTTAGATGACCAGTAGCTCACTCAAATCACAAGTAAACAAGGCCGTCTTTTAGGAGGTGCAATAGGTGCTTGGCACCGGGGCCCACTCATGTAGGGGCTCCAAAAATTTAGAATGTAATATTAGTTATAAGTTTATTTTTATAGATGTTATGTATTATTCAAGATTTCAAAAGATATACGGAGTATAAATTTTAGATTCTCTAGTATTTCATTGAACTGTCTAGTCTACATGTATTTCATTGTTCAAATTTGTAATTTTGTTGTTTTAGGGGGCCTCAATTTTCCATTTGGAAATGAGATCTCCAAATTTATTAGACTGCCCTACAAGTAAACATAACAATAAGAAATGGAGTGAAAGTATAAGGAATGGAGCTGGAATTCTGGAAATAATTCCTAAATTCTAATTTATGGAACTCCTAGTTTATGGAAATACTAAAATCTGGAATTCTGGAAACAAAGGCTTATTCTAATCTCTAAAGCTGAAAATAAAAAGTATAACAAAAGTAAGCAATTAAAAATCCTACCTCAAATCCGGAGAGGCGCAAAGCAGAGACTGAGAGTCCTAGCAGCTAGCAAATAGAGGCGCCTGAATTTCGTGTTGTGGGACTTCGACTAGCGAAGACTGAAGAAGACGAACGGAGTGCTCAACGACGATGCTCGATGCGAGTTTGCGCCGCTGCTGTCATTTTTTATTTTCGGCGTGGGCCGTGAATGCGTGAGTATTTTGGGCCAATTTTTCATTTTCGAGTTTTTTAGATTGAAGTCCCACAAGGCCCACGTGCCGATAAGGAATGGAACTTTTTTGGGAAAAATCACAAATAGCCTAAAAAACAAAAATAGTATCACCTACATCCCGATGGACTTTGTCAAATGCAAAGTATGTGAGAAATAAGAATAGTAAAAATTGTGTGTTTGAGATTTATGCAAAGAAAAGAGAAATGTGCAGAAGCACAAAATAGTTGCTTTAGTATGAAAGTGGGAAAGTTTTTTAGTACAACCAAAAAAGAAAAGTTGTCAAAGTCCAATGAGACGGACGGAGAGAATATCACTTTTTATCACCTCTTGTGACCTAATTAAGAAACTTAAGAAAGAATGAGAAGATGTTTGTATAATTATGTTTCTGTGAGGTTTGAATGACATGTATGCACATATTCGTTCCCAACTCGTGATAATGGATCCCGTGCCTTCAATCATTAAGATTTTCAATGTAGTTCTTCAACATCAAAGGCAATTTGTTGGTGATTCAATTCCATCTTATCTTCACCTACTGATACTGTTGCATTTATCAATTCTAGAGAAAATCCAAATCAAATGTTCATTCCAAAAGTCACACATAACAATTACAAGAACAACAATGTTACCCCAGCAGACCCACTGTGGAAAGATTAATCACACCATTGAGACATGTTATCATAAGCACAGATTTCAAGCAGGGTACGAGACTCGTGCAACAGAAACAACTCTTCAATTTTTCAACCTTCTGCAAGTTTGGCTGAAGTTGATACAGATACTACCTCACATAATACTTCCCTGGGTAATGGTGTTAGTTGTGACCAGTTCACCTTTTCAAAAGATCAATACAATGTCATCATAGCTTTGCTCTAACAACCCAAATAACATCTTTCTTTCTCTTCTGTCAATAACATCAGCATTTTCAAAATATGAGTTCAGGTAATCTCTTCTCTTCCACTTGGATTCTTGATAGTGGTGCCCCACAAACCATATTTGTCCTAGTAACTCTTTCTTCTAATCTCTTAAAAAATCAAGCCCATCATGTTAATTTACTTAACAACACTTCTATCCTGGCATCCTATTCTGGTAACACTCAGTTGGGAAATATATTTATTAAAAATGTTCTCTACATCCCAACCTTTTCTGTACATCTCATTTCAATCTCAAACCTGCTCAAAACCATTCCTTGCTTTCTCTTCTTTTCTTCTAACACATGTTTCATTGTACAGAGCTCTAATTTCAAGAAGATTGGAGTGGCTGAAATGTACAATGGACTGTTTCACTCGAAGGATTCCAGTGCTTTGAAAAAGATCAATTGTTCATTAGGTTCATTCAGTGTTTTAGATAGTACTTCTCGTGCAAATTCCATTTTCAACAATGTAAATAGTTCCATGATATGGCACAACACACTTGGCCATACTTCTGATAAAGTGTTGGAAGTTTTGTGTTCCAAGTATAATGACATTTCTTCTTCTTATTTGCAACCTTGTGGCCCTTGTCATTATGCCCTTGACATTCATATCTTTTCTATTCTAATTGCTCTCCTACACATGTTTCTTTCTGTTTATCTATCTCTGCCATTTCCGAACCTAAGTCCTTTAAAGAAGCCATGAAACTGGACTATTGAAAAAAGGCTATGATGACAGAAATTGAGGCTTTGCAAGCAAACCAGACCTGGTAATTGATTTCACCACCTCCAGGTAGCCCCGTTGTAGGGAGTAGATGGGTTTACAAGGTCAATCACAAAGGAGATGGTACTACATAAAGATATAAAGCTCGGATGGTAGCTCAAGGATATACACAGACATAAGGGGTGGATTTCTTTAAAAAAAAATCTCCAGTGGAAAAGATAACTACAGTCAGATTCCTTTTATCCATTGTTGTTTCTAAAAAGTGACATCTTCACTAATTAGACGTAGACAATGATTTTCTATATGGTGATCTTCATGAAGAGGTATATATGAAACCTCCTCTTGGTTTTATACCTCCTAAACCAGGTTTAGTCTGTAAACTACAAAAGTCACTTTATGGGTTAAAACAAGCCAACAGACAATGGAATCAGAAGCTGACTTCTTCTCTCATTCAACTTGGATATGATTAAAGTATTTCAGACTATTCTTTGTTATTAAGAAGTCTGATTCATCTTTTACTGCATTATTAAAAAAGGATGAAACCCCATCCCCGAGAGCCTCCGACACCGACAGGGCGGTAGGTTGGAGGATGTAAATTGGACTATAATCCCAATTTGAGAAATAGAGAGTGAGAATCTGTCTGATTTATGTTTTCCTTACTAGAAACAATTTGGAAGAAATTAATTCACTTAAACACATCTTCATAATCAGTTTCAGTGAAAACAGTCCAAAAGAAAACATTCCAGTCCAAAAGAAAATATCCTATATACTACCTTCGTCCCAAAAAAATCTTCCCACTTACCTTTTTGGGATTTCCCAATTTTTTTTTCTCATTTCTCTTTTTGGAAAGGTTTGTGTGGCTACAATTCATTTACTTTTTTCTTACTCAATCACAACCATACATTTTCACTTTATTCTCACTTTCTTAAACTACGATCCAAGTCAAATGAGAAATAATTTTTCGGGACGGAGGGAGTATAATATAAACCCTACCCAATCATTTTTACCCGCAGCTGGTTAGCCGCTAGGTGTCCAATGGGATTTGTGAGTAAGGTGACCCAGCCCAATCGGCTTTTACCCGAAAAATTCGAAAAATTCTGGCTGAGTCGGTTTTGATCAGCCTTAATGTAATGCCGAACGGCTTTGGGTCCAACAGCCGGTAAAAGCCCATTTAATATTTGCACTCACCCAAGCACACGCGCCACTGCGATCCTCCGTTACGGAAAGGAGAATGATCGGAATTCCGAGGCGCAATGAGATATGAGACTAATTTCAGCATTAGCCCACTACACCCACCTCCCCTTATTCCATTCACAAAACACTTCTCACTTTTCACCCATTCCAGCGCTTCACCAGGCCTTAATAAGATTCAAGCACTCCAACCCGTCACTGTCTCACTGCTCCTGCATTCTGTCCCGGAGGTTTCGCTGCGGAACCAGTATGGTGGACTTTGAGGCACCTCCTCCTCCGGTTCAAGTAAAAGACCGAATCGATTTGACGGCCAAGGAGGAGCAGATTTTTGACCGCCTCCTGCAGGTCGTGCGCCACTTTAATCTCCAGACGCAGCTCCGGGTCGCTGGTGGATGGGTTCGTGATAAGGTGTGGACTGATACTTTTGCCACAGCTCCGTGTAGCATTTTACCGACTTAAATGACTGATTTTTTCTTTCTTTCATTGTAATTGACTGATTTTTTTTTATCATTTTGACTTTTATATTAAAAATTGTTTTTTTTATATAAAAAAATTGATTTTTTATCAATATTTTATATATATAAATGGTTGATTCGTGTAGCCTACCCAAAATTTCGTATTCGTGTTAGCCTACCCGATTTACTAAGGGCTTGGATTTTTCTTTTTCTCCTACCCAAAATCTTGGATTGGTATTAGCCTACCCAAACTCTTGGATTGGTGTTAGCCTACCCAAAATACTAAGTCTTAGATGTTGTTGATATTTATATAGAGATAAGAGATGAAATCTGAATACACGCCAAGCTTTTCGATGTATTCATTTTCATCTTTTCAAATGTAACTCAGAAATGAACATTCTACACTATTTAAGTCTGAAATATCAATGCCTGAAGTCCATCTTCCAGCTCGTTTTAAACCTACCAGTGCAATGTGTTTCCCTGATTCTATGTAAATATTGTAATCTCATTTGTAGTGCATTCTGACTTATTGAATTTTTTCTCTCCTTTTTGAAGCTTAGATTTTCTGTTGAAGGTGTTCCTCTTGATTAATCTTTTCTTCTTCTTCTATATATTTCCCATGAAGTTATTGGCATGCTTTCACTTTTTAATTTTGTTTGATCAGAATTCTGTAAGGCCTGAGTTCTTCTGCCAATATATTTTTTTATCACAACTCCATAAAGCCTGAATAGAATTTTCATTTTAAGTCATTAAACTCCCTGAGTCCCTGTAGCAGCCGTTCTATATGGGCCCCATTTCCCATGAAACCATTGGTTTGGCCCGAAAAAATGAAGTTGCATATATTTTCCTTGCCCAAGGCTTTCATGACTCGAAGTCCGCAGTAGTTTTGGATTTTTCATTTGAGCTTTATATTGATTTTTTAAATTTTCTCCTTCCTTTACCTGAGACAATGTATTCATGTTGCAGCTTCTTGGTAAAGAATGCTGTGATATAGATATCGCGCTTGACAACATGCTGGGAAAAGAGTTCTGTGAGAAGGTCAATGAGTACTTATTATTATCAGGAGAAGAAATTCAGGGAGTAGGAGTCATCCAGTGGTATTACTTTTAATAATCAAGGCCGTCTAATAATTTGAGGCCCTGCTCTAAATTACATATTGTGGCCCCATATTATCAAGAAAAAGCATAGAATTACATAATTAAGTATTAAAATGTATATTGAAAAATTAAAACATCATTAAAGTTATAGTCCTTCTTTGTACAGATATTAAAATCAATTGACTGACAAGCGACATTTATCTGTTTTACTTTATTTTTTTAAGTTTCAAGCTTATGGTTCTCTGGGATAGTGACCGATGCATTTGATCTATTTTTGCTTGATTTTTAGTTTGGCAGTCTGAGCTCTACATTTGTTTAATTTTTACAGAACGATTTACACTTTTTATAAACTTTCAACAGTTTCAAGGATAAAATGGGAATATTGTTGACCATAGAGCCGTAGAGGCAGGGGCGTATGCGTATCCAGGGTGGGGGCAGCCGGGCAGGGGGGCAGGTGCCCCCACTCAACCCCCACCAAACCCCTATCTATATATTCAATAAATACTTATATATACAAGTAGAGTAAACAAACTTCTCCCCAGCGCAGCGGCAAGTAAGGTGTGGATGTCCACTTACTCTTCATTACGGTCGTGAGTTCGAAACTGGCATCAAGCATTTCTCAATTTTGTTTTCTTT